TTGTTACAGCCATGCTACCAAATAGGATCGAGTAACAATACAGACTCAATTTTCCTTTTATAAGAGAATTATTTATTCTTAAACATGGCATCAACTTTCCAAGGAATCGTCACATTATTCTTGTAACTGTATCCATCTCGACGGATTTTGCACGATATAAACAAACCCACGCAATTCCGAATACTCTCACGGTAAACTAAGATCAAATTGGTAACTACGTTATTGCGGTAGGAATGTGCCATTTTCAGTTTTTCAAATCCGATTTGTGGATTGGTTAACCTACACATCGCGCGGCGCATGCTGGACCGGTCCGATTCAGATTTCGCACGTCGAATATGTTAAGGTTTTGGCATGTAGGAAAAATTTGCTTATTGTTAGATGAACTACACGCTGTGTAAAGGAAAGTTCCAGCTTTAACGACACCCTCTAGAGTTGTAAGCACAAGTAGCTGGCGAAGCCACGGTTTATATCACGGCTTTAAACTAAATTCAGTATCTTCTGGTGGTATATGTTAATCAATGAGAGTTGTTGCCAATTCGCTAGAGAGCAGTTTAGTCAGAAATTACTCCAAAGGGATATAAATATCCTTTCAATAATACAGGGTGTTTCACCATTTATCCGACAAGTTTTAATCACATATGCACTGTTACGAAAGAAGTTGATTTCTCAAAAAAAAAAAATGTAACAGAAGTCCTACAGAAATTAAGTTATAAACCTGAGTTTCAATAATAAATTGAAAAATAGATATCTGTATTTTGCGTTCATAGTCGTGATATTAGAATACCATTAATAAGTTATTGTAGCAAATGTTGTACCAAACAACTGACGAAAATAAAATACCAGCAATTTTTTGTTTTTGCATACTGTTAAGAACGTGTAAATAAGGTTTAATCTGTATCGTGGGTGATCTGAATGAAGAACGGTCGATTTTTGTGAAGTTAAATAAGAAAGTATTTTGCGAATTTATGTTTTTAGTTATTTATTAATAAAAATGGCACATGTTTACACTAATGAGGAGTTAGTTGACATTGTTTCAGCGTACGGAGAAGCAGGGCAAAATTCGCGACCGGCTTCTCGTTTGTATGCACACCGATTTCCGAATAGGCACACCACATCATAAAACATTTAGTTCAATTGTTTTACGTGCACGTGCTAGTGGAGATTTGCACCCCAAACGTGGAGTGGATGGGGTTCGGGTTCGCCCACAACGCGTTTTAAATGCCGAAGACGAAATTTTGGATATTGTGGAAGAAAATCTGGGAATAAACACAAGGCAGTTACCAGATCCCAGAACTGTCACATGCAACAGCGTGGAGTATATTGAATATTATTTTATTATCTCGATTTCTGTAGGACTTTTATTACATTTGTTTTTTGAGAAATCAACTTCTTTCGTAACAGTGCATATGAGGTTAAAATTTGTCGGATAGGTTGTGAAACACCCGGTATATACCTCCAAAGTCTGAATTCTAAACACAGATTTCGAGTATAAAATACCTTAATCAGTTCTTTTTTAACAAGTCAAGATACTTACCTACTAGTAGGTAAACTTCCAACTTCTAAGCAACACCATAATCTGACAGTAATGTGAATTGATTCCTTCCAGAAATAGAAGGTTTATAAAAATATTGACATCGTAACAGTGGTTTCTCTTCAGTAGTTATGAAGAAACGAGCATTTAAATCGAAGAAGAAAATATGAGTAATAAAATCACAGATTTAAATAGCACCAAATCATAAATTTGGCTTATTCTCCATTAATATACAAAATATTACATAATGTACAATGTTTTCGGCCAATAGCTACATAATTGGTCACGGAACAATTTGTAGCAAGCAATTACTTGCTAAGCTCACTGATAAGCACATACGACAAACAACGCCACAGAGGGTTTGTCTGGACGCATGCATGCTACTTTATAAAATAAGGATGGGAAGACAATTTTTTTTAAAAGAACCGAAGCAAAGTAATTCTATTTCATACGCTAATGCGGTGGAGTAGGTTTGGCTAATAATCAATAATTTTCATTAACGGAATATTTAGGCCTACATGAAATTATTATCATTAGTAATGGAATACCGTTAAATAAAATCATTACTAAAGACCTACAAATTTGGAAATGCCAGGTACAAGTTGGGACGCAGATCCGTGAGGCCAGGAGTCTTGATTCACTAAGGGCCATATCGTCAGTCGTTCCTACAATAATTGTAGGACGCCTTTATAGCCTCCTTGATTTTTATAGACTTTTCTCTCCTTTTGAATGGCTGGGGTATTTCTAGATTTCTACTGTTCCCTGTCAGCGTCAGTGCCCTTCTATTTTGAAGCTGTTTTCTTTTTGAATTGTACGAAATTTCAGGATGATCAAACAAATGATATAAATCAAAAGCATGAACAATTTGAGGTAAATAAATATTTGTGGCATAACCTCAAAATAGAGCGCTGACACGGAACAGTATAAAACTACGAAAATCAAGGAGGCCATAAAGGCGTCTTACAATTGTAGGAACGACTGACAATTCGGCGCTTAGTGATATCGAATTACAGGCCGGCCTCACAAGCTAGAAAATAATAGCTAGGTGTACGATCATAGCGCCACCTAACGGATATTAATGAAAATGACAGAGATTTAGTCGATTTGAGGTTAAGATCAATTTGGCAAATGATGACAGCGAAATATTTGCACTTTTGACCCGGATAATAGATTTCACCAGAGACGACGCGTATATTTCACTATATGTTCGACGAAGTTTCCCTTTTGTCTATCACGTACGCTATTCAGTTACCCCCAGTGTGCAATTCGCTTTCGGCGAATAGTGGCTAAGTAATGTGTAAAAAACGTGTTTTGAACTGAAATTTCTTGTTTACTGACACTTCAACGTGGTTCATAAAGTAAATTACCATGCATCAGCGTTGACCAAGTAAATAAATCACCGCGATTTTTTTGTAATTTCTCATCACAAGTTGAGATTGTTTTTTAGTAGGACGTCCTTTTTGAAAACAAACTAATTTTCGGTCAATACGATCATATTCTGATATCCAGACCCATTTGCGCTACGTCCCATTAAATTACGAGTTGACACACATGCATATGCAACAACGTGTAGATTCTAACCACGTGGCTATTAATCAAGAAATGTCTTAACGAATGTATCTAAAGCCATACAGCGCTTTGGTTGATAAAAATCAGGCATTTAAGGAGGGGTTTGCAGGGTATTGAGGTTAGTTAGTTATTCGTAAAACATGTAAGTTATCACTCAGCTGATTAGATTTTAGGGCCCCACGCGGGAGATACACGATTTGGCTTAGTATCAAGGGATAATTGAAGACACAAGTAGATAAAGGTGTCATGTAACAAACTCATTGCATGGAGGAAATTGACTTTAATCATTTTTTATTGGGACTTTTTATTTTATTGAGATTTTAAATATTTAGTTTATTTAGTTTGTTATTATCTTGTTTTAATCAGAGAATGAATCTATCCTTAAGGTTAGTTCAATTCAGAAAAGCAATTTAAAAAAAAAATGTTGCATGACACCTCAATCCACTTGTGTCTTCAGTTGTTAGTTTGCAATTCAACTTATATACCCTGCGAGCGCTGTCTTAAAGGGATCTGTGATAGCATATCACATACTAACTACTCAAGGCACCGAAGTTACATTCTTCGACGTCATCACGAATTGAGTAAATAAAGTTTTGACAATAACAAATACTGGATCCGCAAAAGTTAACGTTAACATTATTTGACACATAAGTCATGTCAAATAAATCTGACTAAGGCGGGGTTCGCGGGGTATTGGAAGTTATAGTCTAATCATATTAGCAAATTTCCCCGAAATAATTGTAAAATCTGGTTTTATTAATGCAAGTTGTTCAAGGGGGTATTTAAAATATGGACGCATAAAATGAGTACACCAATTTTTGTGAGAAAATTTTTTATTCGACAACAAAGAATGAGAAAACGTGTTTTTTGGGATTCAATCCAAAGTGTTAGCAGGAACGAAAAAACTCTTCATATAAGATTTTTAGGTATTTATGAGACCTATAAAATGAGACCCCTCGCAAAAAACCGCCTAATAGCAAAAAAGTTATGGCCGAAAACCGAGGCAAACGAAGGTTTTGGCACTTGCTGGTAATGCGACGATGGTTTCTCGCATATATTTCAAATTCGTAGGATTCGTACTTCTAACTAACCACAACAAAATTTCTAATTGTTTATTCAAAAACACCTGTTTTCCGGCAATCACTTCTAGTTTATTGAGCAATATACAAGGTTAGTTCAAAGGGCATTTTATAGCAAAATACACTAGTTTACCTTGCCGATATGAATCGCAAACCATTCCGGAAGATAAATGTTATTTTTATGCAAAAAAGAATGGGTTACGTTTTTTCTTCTAAACAAATTATAACATTTCGTATTTGTGAGTAATTCGCAACCAAAGGTGATAGACACATCGGCTTTGTTTTAAAATATGTATAGTAACGTATGTTTTTCGAATATCGTAGCGCATTTGATCAATTACTCACAAGTACGAAATGTTTGAGTCTGTTTAGAAGATAAAAACGTAACCTTTGTTTTTCGCATCAAAATAACATTTATCTTTCGGAATGGTTTGTGATTCATATCGGCATGGTAAACACGTGTATTTTGCTATTAAATGCTCCTTGAACGAACCCTAAATATTGCACAATAAACTAGTAGTGATGGCCGGAAAACAGGTGTTTTGGGATAAACAATTAGAAATTCTCAAAAAACTACTTGACCAATATACTCCAATTTTGTTATTATTTAGAAGTATGAATCCTACGGATTTGAAAAATTTCAAGTAGTTGGGTGAAATTATCGTCACATTACCAACAAGTGCCAAAACCTGCATTTTGCCTCCTTTTTTGCAATTAGTCGGATCTTTTTACGTGTGGTCTCATTTTGTAGGTCTTATAAATACCTAAATATCTTATATGAAAAGTTTTTTCGTTCCTGTCAATACTTTCGATTGAATCCCAAAAAACACTTTTACTCATTCTTTCTTATCAAATAAAAAGTTTTCCCATAAAAATTGGTGTACCCATTTTATGCGTCCATGTTTTAAATACCCCCTTGAACAACTTGCACCAATAAAACCAGACTTCATAATTATTTCGGTTAAATTTGCTAATATGATTAGACTATGGGATTTCTTAGACGCGTAAATGTTTTGGGGCCGTATCGTCAGTCATTCCTACAATTGTAAGATGCCTTTATGGCCGCCTTGATTGTCATAGTTTTCTACTTTTCCATGCCAGTGCTCTATTTTGAGATTATGTCACAAATGTCTATTTGCATGAAATTGTTCATGGTTTTGATTTATACCATATGTGTTATCAGCCTGAAATTTCCTGCAATTCAAAAAGAAAACATAACTTCACAATAGAAGAGCGCTGATGCCGACACGGAACAATAGAAATCTAGAAATATCACAGCCTTTCTAAAGTAGAGGAAAGACTATGAATATCAAGGAGGCTATAAAGGCGTCCTCCAACTGTAGGAACAACTTACTATACTGTCCTTAGTGACTGAACGCATAGTAGGCCTTGCCTAGTCTATTAACATTTCATTATTCATGTCTATATTTTAGAATCATGTTACGACACTACCGTAATTCTGTTGTCCCTATTGGATACTGAAAAAGTGACGTATACGTTTGATAGCTGCGTTTCTGATCACATAGCCTTGTCGATCCACAAACATTTTGTGAAAATGGGCACAGCTACTCCACCGCATTCTGCTTAACCTCCAAATGAAACCGAAGTGAATAGAACCGTAAAAGCAAAAAGCCTACTGGCCGAACCTTTCAGTTGCTCTATACACACATATTCTATCCTATTCCTACTGTTGCTGTTTCTGTTGCACGTCCCCCGACACTGCAGGATGCGTCTGCGCCTGCGCGACGCTGCTGTGCGTGCTACTGCTCGATGAGAAGTTGCCTTGGGGTTGTTGCGGTTGCTGTTGTTGCGGTTGAGGTGGCTGTTGTGGCTGTGGTGCTTGCTGCTGTTGTTGCTGGTTGGGTTGCGTGGTTGTGACGAAGCTAGAACTGGCACTGGTGGGCGTTTGCGAAGTCTGCGATACCTGGAATTAAAAGGGAAGTGTGAACATGATATACAGTACAGGGTGTCGTAGGCAAGGATCATATGCATGGGAATCTCAAAACCTGTGGGAGATACAGCTTATGCTAAAAGGAAAAAGTTGCGTTCTTTGGGACGTATTTATATGCCGTTGAGAAAATTTCATGTAGTTATTTGGGAAATAGTAAAATTTGATAAAATCGTTCACATTTTTTGTGGCATTGTTTTAAGAAATATCAAAAAGCTAATGGAACTTTTCCATTGGCAGTTGCATGATGGTGTTTTTAAATGTTGTGCCCGACGTTTCGGTTTTGAGGAACCATCATCAACTTCGTTTTTTAGATGATAGCATCTTTTTCTACGAACTCGATGTACCAAATGTTAGATGTGATTGCTTAAATATGAAGAAAACTGTTTTTTCATTTTAAGTAGGCGTTGCAAACGAATGCTTGATGTAAGATTATGGGACTACTGATAGATGCATATTATATAAAGATATGACTGAGTAAAATTTTATAAAATCATAATCTAGTTATATTCAGAATAATGAATACCTTTCTAACATTATTTCCATTTTATTCACAGTAGGTGTTCAAATATGTTGCCATTATTTTCTAAACATAAATATGATCCCCTAACAGTAGAATTTAAAACATTTCTTGTGTAATCATACTAACTGCTTCTAAAGGGCGTCTGAACAAGTGCGCCGGATTTCCATTTGTCGCCATTTTTTTTTTGTACAAATGGTATGGTGTTTACTTGATGACATCTGTCATGTCCAGACCACGCGATTAGACGTCGTGAAGCAGTATTCAAACGATCGACGTTTAATTATCGTGAAAAAATCGAGAAAACTACGCCGAAACAGTTCGCAAATTACGTACAATTTTCGGTGGCATTAATGCGCCAAATGAGTCGACAGTTCGCCGTTTGATTACAGAATTTGAGACAAAATTCACTTTGCTGAATGTGAAGACTGTTGGTCGCCGTCCTGGTCGGTCCCTCGAAAATATAGTCGTGGTGCGGGATAGTGTGGCCGAGAATCCAGGCACCTCCATTTGATATCATGGCCAAGAATTGAACCTTCCCAGACCCACTCTGCAACGAATTTTGACAAAAGCTCTGTGCTTGCATGCGTACAAGGTTCAACTGACGCAAGAACTCAAGCCAACGGACCATGCGCATCGCCGTGAATTCGTTGATTGGGCGCTTGCGGATTTCTCGAAGAAAAGCATTTTGTCGAATGAGGCACATTTTTAACTAAACGGGTACGTCAATAAGTTAAACTGCCAAATTTGGGGTTCTGAAAACCTTTGTGTATTAATCGAACAATAAATGCATCCGCCGCGAGTTACCGTTTGGTGACGGAGTGATTGGATCGTATTTCTTAGAAAATGGAGCAGGAACTGCGGTAACTGTTAATGGTGCGCGGTATCGGGAAATGTTAACCGAGTTTTGTGTTATTGTGGCCCCAGAGGGATCGAATTGATGTTTCCAGACCGTGTCATCACTCGGTTTGGCGATCAAAATTGGCAACCAAGATCGTGCCATCTAACGCCAATGGACTTCTTCCTCTGGGGCTATTATCGACGAAATAGAGCCATACTTGTGCAAAAACGTTATCCGGAATTTTGATAAAAGACTGACCCTGTGCAAGATATTTCGTGGCGGCCATTTACCGGATGTGCTATTTGATGTTTAATCGCAACTATTCCTCTTCATTTTGAAATATAAATACTCGCTTAATTCGAAAATGAATTGTGTTTTTCTTGAAAATCAAATCCGGTGCTTTTGTTGAGATACCCTTTATTACACATTCTGGTAACTGCTGCTCAGTTTCAAAAGTATGCTGATAAATCTGATTTTTAATAACAGCCCAAACAAAAAGTCCAGAGGAGTTAAATCCCGGGAACCCGCTGGCCAGGGCACTTCACTGGAGGTCCAATCCACCTTCCGGGAAAAAGATACTCTCGAACTAGAGTTATGTGCAGGAGCACTTAATGAGTTGTGGTAAATAATTGACGTAATACTTTGATCCCTAGGATTCCAGACCACTTATTAAACCCAAAACGTTCTTGACTGGATACTTTTTTAGCCCGCAGTGAACCCCTCACACACATGCTGGCGCCGTTCGCTATCCCCTGGTCTAAGTCTTTGGCAAATCCAGAATTTATAGGGGTGATATCCATTTTTTTCGCAAAATAATAGGGATGTAGATTCGGCTACTCCTACATTTTTCTCGATTTGCCTAGTTGATATCTACGAGTTCTCAGCAACTGCTTGTAAAACACTAGTCTGAGGTTCCTCTAAAGATTCCTTTTTTCGAGACGTCTTTTTGAATGAACCCTATTCAGCTAAATTTCGAGCCAACTCTAAGAAATGGAATTAAGTACTTTGCTGCCTTGTTTCTGGAAATTATCAAGATATATTCCTGAAGTATTTTTAGTTTTTTTGTAGCACAAAAAGTAGCACGTTAGTATGTCGAACTTTTCTTCATTGCTAAAATGACCGCCTGGCATCTTTGGGGATAATAAAGCAATATTAACAATACACAATAATAACAATACTCGGTGACAGGTATTTACGTCAACTCAAGCATTTGATTTCAACGAATACTTAAAATAAATAAAAAAAAAAAGAGAAAAAACGCATTTTTCCTTATAACCAAGAAAATAAATCTAACATGTTATATACAGGGTGTACCTTTTTTCGTACCTTTTAAAAAATCAAAGTTGATGATGGTTTCTCAAAAACAGACCATCGAGCACAAAATTTAAAAATACCGTCGTAAAAAATGCCAAAAGTTTCATTAGTATTTTGATATTCCTTAAAATAAAGTGAGAAAAAAATAAAAATGATTTGGCCAAATTTTAGTTTGTCCCAAATATGAAATTTTTACAAGTTTCCCATTGGCATATAAATACGCCCCAAAAAACGCAGCTTTTTCCTAATTTAACCTAGGATGTATCTCCCACAGGTATTGAGATCCCCATGCATAGGATCCTTATCTTGCGCTTTTGAAAACTAAAATCGACATATTTCGTTTTCCTGAGTCAAGTACTGTAAGAAATACTCATTTATTCTATAAAATTCGATACGAGTGATGTAGCATATTACCCGTTCCCGAGATAAAGCGCGAACTTCAATAATCTGTACAGTTTCATGTTCATCACCTTCCATTTCAATGTTTGCCCCTTTTATCATGGTTCATTGAAGTATGGGTATTTACCTGCGTTTTGGGTATCTGCGACCTTAAGAAATTATTTTCTGTTTCCAGCTGCTGTATCCGCTCCATCAGCTCAGCGATTTTTTCTTTTAATACTTCTACCTCTTCACGAACTGTATACATCAAATGGCTTTTCACTAGATCCATAGCCTGTTCAATTTTGTTATCGATAGCATTTACTACTGGATTCGTTTTAGCTGGATCATCTAGAATAAAAAATAACATTTAGTAATAATGATCGTGCATTGATCAACAAAATATCTCTTTGTGGTTCATGGTCTCCACATGACATGTATTGAACTTCCATGAGCAATGAGTGCGGTTTGAGGAAAATCTCTCGTTGGATCTCAAGCAAACAACAATGCTTCGTTTAACGTTCATGGGTGATTTAACATTCGCATCTCACAGCAGGCTGTAACAGTTGCCATCACAGGTTTTCAAATATGAACGATTTTCAAAATTTTAGAAAATCGCCAGATATTCAAAATTTTCAAACCAAAATTTTTGTGTTAACAAAATTGTAATGTTTAAAAATTTTTCAATTTACAAAATCATAGTTTTCTAAATTAAAAAATTTTAAAAATTTTGTTCATTGTCCTAGAAAGCCAGAAAGCACAAAACAGCTATCAATGATCGGACGGACGAAAGCAGCATGGTTAGTTGTTCAATGGCAAGTACACCACTTCTACTATACCGCTTGAATCGACGGCCTCTAGCGGTGACAGTGGTGACTGGGCCATCAAAGCCGAATTAAGATCTTTACAGTTCCAACCGATAACTGTTATACACTCTCGCAGATGGCGCATTAAGCTGTGCTTGTGAGGATACTTGCTATGCTTTGGATCGTTATCCCAGAGACCAAGACTAGACCATGCTAATGAGATGGCAAAAATCACGCCACAGCCGTCAATGGTTGGCTGCTTGTGGTCGGACGGACGAAGGCAACATGTTTAGTTGTTCAATGGCGAGTAGACCACTTCTACAGTAACGCCAGACTCGTCAGCCTCTAGGGGTCACAGTGGTGACTGGGCTATTAAACGCGAACCGAGATCTTTACAATTCCAACCCATAGCTGCGTATGTTCACTCTCGAAGTGGTCGATTCAGCTACTAGATGATGCTTTGTGCAATCTGAGTTAGACAGTTCTTATACCTCGGATAGAGGATACTGAATATGCTTTTGTTCTTTATCACAGAGAATATGCCAAAGAGTTGCCAAAAGGCACAAAGAAGAAATCATTCCTCAAACGACACTCCATCCTCATTGGAGGTCTATAAATGTTACCCTGAACAATCTTTGTTAAAGGATGCAAAATCTGTAGGTGCACCTAGAAAATGAAACTCCAAAATTTGGAAACATAACCATCCACATATTATGCAACTCCGGTAGAGCAAGCAAGTGTATATTTATTTTACCTAAGAAGTACAAGCAGTGTTTTTGATATCTGGGTTTAGAATTACTGAATGTATCTCCAACAGATCTATCAAACTGCAAAAATAAATATTTGCTGATGGACCCAAAATATTTCAAAACACTGTAGAACTACTACGTGGACAAATAAGATCGAATAATTAGGCGTATTCATCAATTCACCGGTTGAGCCCACGGTGCAACCAGTTAGCCGATTCTGCGTCCTCTAATTCCCGCTGAAACGACCGGTTGTACATGAAACTTCTCTTTATATTGATGGTGAATTGCAGCGGGAATTAGATGACACAAATTTGGCTAACTGGTTGCACCGGTCGCTCAATCAATTAATGCATTTAAAGTTGACGAATTGCTTTTAACAATGATGGACTTTAAAAGTTTATGTGTTTGACTGAGATTTGGGCCTTGAGCGAGTCGATCAAAAATTTTGTAATCGACGACTTTCACATTTCATGCATGATAGGAGTCAGTGGTAGGCATTTTAGCAGGGATATTTTTAAGCGTCTTAAGATTTTAAATTTACCATCAGCTTTATTTTTTATACGAAATGACTGTGTATACTTTCACTCACAAAAATATGTTTTTAGACAATTTTAACTAGTACTCGACCAGGCAAGCTGACGACAAATGTGTGTTTTGCCAAGTATAAGATCGGAGTCAGATCTCCGGAAATATTGGTTCCACGAATTTTCAATATGCTACCAAACCATATTAAAGTGTGGAGAAATACATAATGAAGGCTAAACTTCTTGTAGGTAAATGTTATTATGCCGTCTCTGAGTTTGTTATTTTATGATTTATTTGTGAGTTTGTTTTATGCATATATTTATTGTGTAGTTTATTAGTATTTATTCTGAAGAATTCTATACATACATTGTAATGTCTCTTGGGATATTAAAAAAACATTATTTGAATTTGAACTAGAGGATTAAAGGATACGCCTATTTTTAACTCTCCATCCTTCGGACTCCTAAACTATTCATCCGATTACAATTAAACTTTTTTTACATGTTAAAAGCACTCAACTTGTCACTTCCTTAAAACTCACCTGCATTCTCACTGGCAGCATCCGCGACACTGTTCGTTTCAGTGACTTCGTTACTATTGGCCAACGCGTCCCCACCATGGTCCAACACCGTCAAACTGTTGACGCTCATCGCGAACTGGGGATTCGTGTACACGTTGTTCGCAAGATTCTGGTCAAATGTCTGGGAAACGGCTGACTGGATGGGCACCGGTTGAACAGCAGGCACCTGGGTCGCTTGGACCGGATTTTGGGGCACAGGCTGTTGCTGGTAGAACTGCTGGCTAGGTACCACTGTGACTGACTGGTTGGCTTGCACGGGAATTTGAGGTTGCACCTGGGAGAATGAGAGATGTGTAACAATAACGTAACTAAACAACAAGAAACTTCAAGGAACAGGACTTGTTTACGGCAGTGAAGGCACCTACACCCACAAAACCGCGGTCGGCGCACATAATTGAAACATAATTGTGTATTCAGTTTGCGTGCTAACTTCATAAACAGGTCACCGCATTTCAGTATGAAATATTTTTTTTATAAACTTTGAGGCTTATCTGTGAGCGTGTAAAAATTTCAGCTCTAAATATGGATACAAAAAAGTATGAAGAAATCTTGAAAAGTTTTTCCTTCGTAAAAAAGGGTGATATACACGTCCGCTTTGTCTTAGAATATGTATAATAGCGTATGTTTTTCGAATATCGTAGGGAGTCTGTACAATTACTCATAAATACGAAATGTTTGAATTTGTTCACAAGAAAAAACCTTACCCTTCGTTTTTCGCATAAAAATAACAATTGTCTTTCGGAATGCCTTGTGATTCATGTCGGCAAGGTAAACTCGTGTATTTAGCTATAAAATGCCCTTTGAACGAACCGTGTATATTACTCAATAAAGTAGTGATTGCCGGAAGACACGGGTTTTTTCGATAAACAGAAATTCTCAAAAACTCCTTGACCAATCGACTCCAATTTTGTTGCGGTTATTTAGCTGCGTGAAATTATCGTCACATGTGCAACAAGTGACAACATTTTTCGGCCGTAGCTCTTTTACTATTAGTGAGATCTTTGTAGGTGTTGTCTCATTCTGTAGGCTTCATAAACACCTAAAAATCTTATTTGAAAATTTTGTTCGTTCCTGCCAACACTTTCGAATGAATCCCAAGAAACACGTTTCCTCACCCTTTGTTGTCGAATAAAAAGTTCTCCCACAAAAATTGGTGTACCCATTTTATGCGTCCATGCTTTTAATGCCCCATTGAGCAACTTGCATCGATAAAACCAGACTTTACAATTATTTCGCAAGCCATGGGTATTTTCGTCTATGATTAGACTAATTTGCTTAAGATAAATTTAACAGCGATGTTGGTGATCATTTCAACATTTCATGAATCCTCAGTGAACGCCGGTGATCGAAAAAAAAATAAAGAGCAGGGGAGTAATTACAATTGAAAATGGTTGTTTCGTTTATTGGAACACCTTGTGGAACTGAGGGTTTTGGGGAAGTCTCATTTTGAAGTTCAAAACATCAAAAAGTAATCAGAAAACATGGGTACAAATAAGTATTCGAGTAAATATGATAAAAATGAATCCGCGTACCCGTAAGATAATAGATTAACGTATTCCACCGGAAGATAGCTGATCTAATGGGATGTTCGCGAATCCGAAATTACATGGTGAACCAATGCGCGAAAGAAGAGTTTTTATGACCACTAAAGTAAAGCAAGATAATTTGACAGTACTGACTACTGACGGTCATGACAGGTTGATTATTTTTTCATTTTCCGTTAACTTTTTTCACGAAAAGTTGCGGTAATATTTGTGCTATGGTTACTCCAAACTGTCCAAAGAACGAATAAACTTAGAAAAATTAAACCATAGAATCACAGCAAAGCCAGTTCAAAAAGCTATTCTGGAACATTGCATATACAGAGAAAACCAAATTTGTCTGACAGCTCGAGTTCTATGTGTACTAGAGAGAAGCACGAGAAGTATGTATGAACACATGTTAGAGATAGAAGCTGGCTGAAGAACCAAGATCATCACCATATTGCCTAGCAACGGTGACGCAGAAGGTCGTGTAATCTCCTGCCACAGGCCAAAGTGTTAAAGACAGGTTTGTACCATAGGTTAGGTTACTGTCAAACCCAAGAAAGAGGTCTGTTCGAACATTTAATTTAATATTTTGATAAGAATTATTTATTTCAGTGTTGCTGCGACTTAGTGTTTTAATTTATTTCAGAATATTCTTTGATATCCACCAATGGTGATAAATCAACACATCCTAAGTTATTGTTACATTTTGCAACAGCGAGCGGGCGGAAAATGTAACAAATACCATTACGCAATACAAGGTACGCAGGTGAAAACTATTTCGAACCAGGATGACATTCTCCTATTAGCGCTAGATGGGTACTGACCAAAATCGCTCAACTATGATCATGGAGATGGAAACCTTGTCTTGGAATGTACAAGATGTTACAGAATTTGTGGCGATTGTGACCTTTCATTTCGACCTAAAATGGAGCGCTGTTAGAACCGATCCGGAATCGATCCTAAACAGATTCAATACAGTTCACAATTCAAAAATGTGTACGCTCAAAATAAAATCATTATTTGGACGCAGAGAAAAAACTAATGCATATTTTCAACATGCATCTTAATTCAAGGAAGTGGTGTAACATATTGGAATGCAGAATGCCGCGCCAGCGTTGCTAAGCAACGCGGTTATGAGCTTCGCTAATCAGCCGGCTTCCATATCTTTCTAACAGATGTGTCTATACACACTTCTCTTTCGTACACATTGAACTAAAGCCGTCAGACAGATTTAGTTTTCAGTGTATAACAAAAATCAGGGCAATTTAATCCATTCAGAACACTGTCAATTTCATGAATTTGTTGTTATCTGTGACCTAGGACGCATATTTCCAGTACATTTTTTATATTATGTTTGTCCCGGCAACACACACAAGGAAAAAATAACCTTACAAAATAATCTCTCCCTTATTCTTCAATTAATAACTGACTTTATTTCTATAACGGAGAACGAAACGCATTCTCGCTACTGCACCAACCCAGAATAAGAAAATCATAACGAAGCAGCAAAATAAGAACACCAAAAATTCATGAAACAAAAAACATAAGGCACATTAATAACGATAGCATATTTAAAAGCATTTTCAGGAATACAGGGTCCGGCAGTGAAACGGGTAGATTTAAAAAAGTTACCATAAACTAAGGTATAACAATTTATTAATTTAACAAAAATGCAATGTATATTAGTGGAATTTAGTGTTGGAGCTTAAATATTTAATTTTTTTCTTGAAAATTGTTTCAGCTAAATGTCACCCCCGGTTTCTTACACATTCTAGGAGTCTTTTGCAAAACGAACCCATAACTCTGCATAGCATATCCAATGAAGTTTGTCGACCTTTTGACAAATTCGTGCCTTCAAATCGTCCTTATTTCTCAGTGGGTTTATATGGAAAACCTGATTTTAAATACCGCCAGAGAAAACAGTCAGGAACGGTCAAGTCCAGAGAACTGGCAGGCCATGGACTATAGCAGATCCTGCTAATGAGGCGACCAGGAAATGCACGCCTCAGCAAATCCATTGAAATATTGACTGTATGGCTAGTGGCGCCGTTCTGCTGGAATAATGTGCTTTTATTCACATATTCATCAAGTGTAGGTAGGGCACAGCCTACCAACATAGCGGCGTAGCGTTCGGAATTAACTGTCACAGTTTCACCATTGTCATCTTCAAAAAAATATGGACTACTTATGCCTTGCGATGAGATAGCACACCAAATAATTACTTTTTCTGAATGTAAGGTTTTTAGTGGAGATTGCGTGGATTATTTACTCCAGCACCGGAAATTCTGTTTAACGAACCCACTGAGGTGGAAGTGGGCCCCGTCACTTATCCACAGGTTGTGAACTTGCTCTCCATCTTGCTCATCATGTTCATTTCGCCCAATAAGATCCAGAATCCTTCTGACGGTGCGATCACTAAGACCAGTTCTATGCGGTGCCGTTTTGCAGATGTCCGCGGACTTCTCGCTAGTGCTTTACGCACACGGTTAACATTCTCAGGGGTGCAAGCTATTTTAACTCTGCCACCTCGTTTCTTAGTAGTGCTAGCAGTAGCTTCAAAATTTCTTACCAAAGGTTGATAGCATTTGCAGAGGGCACAGGATCACGTGGAGATAAATCGAATTCTCGCCGGAAAGCACTTTGAGCACTATCTGCGTTTGTATATGCCTTTACGACGAAAGCGCGCTGCTCACTCGTCCAACGCAACATTTCTACTAAAAATACCAGCTGTCTAGACGCCCAAGGTCGGACGCCCCACACTCGCAAATCTTCCCATTTCACTGCTGGATCCTGTATTATCTATTCAAAATACTCAGCTACTACAAGTGAACATGAAATGAATGACAGCTAGTTCAAGTTTAATTTTTTTCGGAAAAACTAAATAATGTCATTAAAAATCAATATGTTACTATTGAGGTATTTAATACCGCTGCGGGCCACACCAACTTACCGGTTGTGGTTGTTGTTGGGGCGGAGGCTGTTGCTGCTGCGGTTGTGGCTGGGGATTCCCCACCGCCGTCAAAATGACACTTTTTACAGCCTGCGTAGGCAAACTTCCTTGTTGTTGATCCGTCTGTGGCGTGAAGTTGTGACCGTTGACTAGAGGTGGCACCACGTTCGCTGCCTGCGACACGTTCGGCTGGCCAGCGTACGTTTGACTCTGCTGGAAGTTAGCCGGGATCTGCGACGTAGGGACAAATGCTGTCGCCTGAAAATAATAAAAGCAAGAGATGATAAGAGATTGGTTATATCTGACACTGTCTTAGTTTGAGAAACTCATCTGAATAGGTTCACGCATGATTTCGAAACTAAACCGCTTTAAATACGTTTGTCGTTCAAACCAGATGCCTGTTTTCATTTCAAAAAGGTACTACGAATCAACCTACCGAGAGTTCGGCTCAAACTGCAAGCAATAACTCAGATTTAAGGCGGGATTTGTAGAATATTGAGGTTAGGATTTTTTTCCTAAAGTCCAATTAGATAGGTGATATAAATTTCACATAAAATTATTTACATATACAATGGACACGCGATAATCCGGACACTGTCTAACCCGGCGCCCCCTGTAATGCAGCACTCCTGTAATCCAACACGCCTATCACTGTTGATTGGTCATGAAAATTTCTGCAAACCTTCACTAGTCCAAAAGCGAAAGCACAAAACACTGACAAGAAAGAAGTGATATTTTGGATCGCTTAAATTATAATGAATCCCTCAGCAGTTTAGCAAATGAATACGGTGTGGGTCGATCTACAATTATTGATGACATTAAAAAGACCACTAGAAGACTAAAACCTTCGTGTCAACGACTGACTGTGGGCCAGGCAAAAGGCAGGCATGATATGTTCCTACAACGAACCTTTAATTTTGAGAAGACTAAGAGCTGTGCTCTCGCGCTTTAACAACTTTAAAAAATGAATATTTTAATGCTTTATAGATTGATTGGTATATATTATAATTTGTATTTTTAGTTTTTGATTATTCGCAATATCCTCTGCAATACTTACATTTTTATACATATGTACATTTTTTTGAAGATAATTATTTCCTAACGTAAATAAGTTTAGTTATTAAGTTCTATATCACTAATGATGTTGTTTTTATAATAAAATATTAGTTCTCCATTGTGATGTTTAATTTACTAAATTCTGCATACATTTTATGTATACATAATTATGTAGTATGATTCGTAGTTCAAATAGATTATTTGATTTGTAATTTGTCGGATTACAACGTACTCCTATTTAAAAAATCCGGGCTATAAAGGGTCTTACTGTAGTTAAGAAAATCACCGGCAACCACTGTGATTCAGACCTGTACAAACCTGCAAGTTGGCACTTAACTCCTAACAGGAGATTACACGATTCAATTTACTATAAAACGAAAATCGCCAGTTTCAAATCCATTTTTTAACCTCAATAACCTGCAAACCCCGCCATGATATGTAAATTGTCACCCAAAATTACAATCCAATTTTCGAAATTTGAATTTCGAACATACCATAATTTTTAAGCTGCATTAAGCTGCATAGTCTTTCGGTTCTTTTTTCAAGAGTCTTTTGTTTGCCTTTGCCCGATTGCCCTCCCTACCGGTTCTGCAAGAAAGTCGCAAACGAATATTCTTGTATCATTGATACCTATGGTTGTGATCAAGGTATAATAAACGAGGGAAACTACCGACTGATGGTAATGCTTGCAAGACGAAGATACTGTTTTATACTTAGCAGTAATGACAATTTAAATTATGGGAGGCAAGGTTCTTCTAGAATAAAGGAACATTTAATATTAAAAATTAAAAATATTGTCATAACTAATAGTAAGAATTGCATCGGTCGATCTGACATGGTTGTTTTTAAAAAACCATTACTAAACTGTAGAAAACCAAGCTAGCTTCTTTGCCTTAACATTCACTTCTGTACTACCTTCAAATTGTATTATCCAGCTAAAAAAAGGACCGGTTATAGCCACAAAACACATAAGTGGGGTTACTGTTTCCAACTGAATTAAACGCATATAGAAAACAACGCACCGTAATGTATTTTAATAAAATAGATAACATAATTGTACACAATTAAATGAACTTTGCGGCAGATAAAGATTAAGAAGCTCATGGTCGTGACTTATCAAAATATTTTTTCACAAAATAAGTCTCGGTAATGGATACGTATTATGACTTTTACGTAATATTCCACTGGTTGTATTGAAAATAACAGAGGTAAAAAGTCTGCAGAAGATCTACCATAGGCCAGAGTAGCGAGATCATTATCACGAATCCTGAATTCCATATATCTGAAAAATCGATAATTCGAGTGACAAACTTTCTGTACAATATCACACGGCTTACAAAGCAAAGGAAAGTGACAAAAAACTTGGACCGTTTGAAGATGCCTTACATTTTGTAAACAGCGCCAAGTCAGAATGATTCTTCTCGCGAACAGCTACATATCTACGACAAAATGTCCATCATTTGTTAACAAATGTAAATTATAAATACAGATAAATCCATATACAACTGACGTCGTAATGTGTACGAGAGAGAAGCGCGAGAAGCGTACAATACGTATGCTAGAAATAGACAGAAGCACCACCGAGTGACGAAGCTACGGACGCAGCTGCGGCTTTCCGCATTGCCATCGGCGCATTCTTTCTAACATACGTATTGCACGTTTCTCGCGCTTCTCTCTCGTACATATTACCTCGTCAGAGATATTTAAATTTTTCTGTATAAGCCTTCGACTAAATCGTCCATTGCTTATTACTGCATTAATTATCTAAGCTTAGATTTTCTAAAAATCTAGTCTCACTCCTCCAGTCATATATTTCGTCCAGTATACTGCTTGTTGAACGTGGTGGTTTCAAGTCTAATAACTACATACCTACTTCAGGAGTTCCCCAGGGGGCTAACTTGGGAACTTTATTATTTTTAATCTTTATTAATGATTTTTGCTCTTGAGATTAAGTGTCATCATTTATTTTTCAATAAAAAATGTATAATGGTATTGTAACATCCGAAGACTGCCATTTTCTAAATAATTTAGAAATCATCAATTCACGCTGTTCCAAAAACCTCCTCACACTAAATGTAAATAAAATATTCCAGGAAACGATATGTTATGCTTTATCATGACTACATTATTAATCAGGTAAGGTTAGAAAGGAGAAACCATTATAAAGACCTAAGTGTCACATTTGATGCAGAGTTCTCTTACATAGTCTGCTTCCCGAATGCTAGGGTACTGTGTTAGAAACTGGTCAGGTTTCTCAAATATTGAGGCTCTTAAGCTTCTATATCTCATGTACACATTATGACGTCAGCCAAATTTGAACCTCATGGTATAACTCTTAAATACAATGTTCTACATTTGGAAAAATCGCCTGGTCTGATCTAAAGTTGTGTTCATAGTTCCAAGCCCAAAAATAAGATACATGATTTATGGAAAACATGATATTCACTAACCTGGTTAATCGGGACATACTGAAGATTGGCGAAATTCTGCGGCATGCTGTTCTGTATTTGGAAATAAGGCTGTGCGCCAATGAACTGAGCCGGCATTGTACTAGGTACCTGCTGAGGAACTGTTCCCTGGCCTGTCTGTACCTAGAATTAAAAATGCGATGTGAAAGATGAAAGATGTCTCTCCTATCCCTCTGCATATCAAACTATAACGTCACTAGCCTAAACCCGAAGCTAATGCAATAGTTACCTTGGCAGTGGACATTTTCTATTCAACATTTTAATGTATGCTGAGTGACAAAAAGAGGTAAACACCTACGTATGTTTATCCGATTTTAATAATTTTTGGCATATACTATATGTTCAGTGTCCCTTACTAGTAAAATAATTAAATTTTCAGCTTGATTCGTCAACTGACTGCAGAAGCTGGTTCAATAATGTGTTGAGGATCCAAGATTTCTTATACACTCATTGACACGCCAGGGCATCGTGCTGATAAGGTGGTCAATATTCTGTTGGGGTATCTCATTCCAGGCTATTGCAACTTCGTGAGTAAGAGCTACTAAAGTCTGTGGAGGGTGTTGCTAATTCAAGAGGCTGCGACCTATCATGTCCCAGATTTGTTCAATTGGAGATATGTCAGCCGATCGTGGTGGCCAAGGTAAACGGATGATGCGATGTTGACCTATGAAGGCTAACGATGTTCTGGCAACATGCGGTCTGGCATTGTCTTGGTGAAAAATCGGGTTTTTGATGGTGTGTACGTATGGAATAAGATGACGCTCCACTACTTCCTGAATATAGCGTCGGGCTGTCATTTTGCCTCTGATAAAAATTAGAGGTGATAAGAAAAAAGGTCAAACTGTCGTATTCGGCGATATACCAAAAGGCTTCTCAATAAGCTACACAAAATTTAACATTTAACTGACACTGCAAATGTACGATAACTGAATGCTTCTTTATCATCAAACAAGTCTGTGTTCCAACGATTTAATTGGAATAAATAAATTATTATAATAAAATAAATGCAAATAAAATAAATGGAAATGAAAGACAAACGTGAGTCAATATTTTTTACAATTTATGAGAGAGTATTTTGCTAAGAGTATACCAATTAACTGAATTATGAATTGATTAAACAATTGTATTGTAAAATATGTTATATGATTAGAGTGAGAGTAAAGGTAAACGATTTGTTGTTCATTTATTATTATTTCATAGTAATTTAATTTTGAAGAACACAACGTGTTAAAATTTCCGGATTTCCCGATTTTCCAGGAAAATGAAAATGTGCCAGATGTCGTTATTTCGACGAGTTACCCCAAATTGAAAAATAAAGTTCTACGTTCGTTAGAAGGCGAGATAATGTAAAGCTTTACAGCGCGCTCCGATTTAAAGACTCAAAAAATAAATCGAGCTAGAGCTGATTTCCTCACCACCTCACCCGGAAATATCTACGCGTGTACTTTCACTTTAGGTGGCTATTTCTTGAAGACCTTTGAACTAATAGTAAAATTATAAATTGGATCATAAATTAAGATCCTTGATTAAAATCTGTAAAAATTTCTAGCCTTAATATTTATATACAAAGGACATATGAATTAAAAAAAGATTTTGGCTGCTATTGGTCAATTATCTTGGCTAATATTGGTGGCTCTTCTAAAACATGCGTTTTTTAACCACCTATCCAGATCAACTTGTTAAAATAAATTTTAATGAAAAATAACGGAGTTTTTGTAAATGTGTACGAGTATAACTATAAAAATGGCTATTTTTGTAACATCATTTTTAACAACTTGTTCATGGCAAGATAAATCGATATGTAAGTAATTCTTGAATTCTAATAAACATACGTAAGTGTTTACCTTTTTTGTCATTCTGTATATCAATAAATTAATATCTTAACATATCCTAACCCAATAATTATTTATTCACAGTATATACTTGAAGTACAACGAAACACCAAACAAATCTAAACCAAGACGATCTCGCGAAGGAAATGGATGTCGACATATAAATACACGATGTAAAATGCCCTATTTATATACACTCTTAGTCATTTCGGTCGGACCAGCGACTGAGCGCTTCCGCGACTCACACTTCATGTCCAATTCCATTAAGCCGTTTAAGCAGAGCTGCGTTCGTAAATTGTTACAGAGTGTACTTTGTACAACTCTGTAAGAATTTTAGCGTTCATAATTGTTTGATGTACGTAGTCGTGCCATAAGTTCTGTCCCATGATAATCTCATGATAAAAATGAAACAAGATAAGATATATTTATATGAAAGATATTATTTATTCGACAACATTTTTAGAATTCATAATCAAACAGTTTTATTCAAAATGTCCCCCCTTGGCCTTCACACACTGCTTCAATCTCGCGGGCCACTCATCTATCACTGCACGCACAGCTTCCAAAGGAATAGCTGCCGCTGATCGGATCAAATCCGCTTTCAGGGACTCGATATTACGGTGGGCTTTGGAGCAGGCCAACTGCTCTAGCAGGTCCCACAACTTGTAGTCTAAAGGATTGAGGTCCGGACTCCCTGAGGGCCAATCTTCCGCAGCAATGAACTCTGGCACATTGCTTTCCATCCAGCGCTGCGTACTCTTAGCCTTGTGAGCGGGGGCGGAATCCTGCTGGTAGACCCAGTGTTGGTTGGCAAACAATGTACCACTTAAAGGCTTGACGATAGGATCCAGTATGTCGCTCTGATAGTTTGCCGCTTTTGTTTTCACGCCCTGTTTACAGAAATGGAGCTGAGTGACCCCTTCGTAGGACACCCCCCACCAAACCATGACTGACGCAGGGTGGTGGCCTCTCTCAACTCTCGGAATGATCTCCGAAGCTTCCTGTGAACTCCTTGCATACACTTTGTCATTTTGTCGGTTGAATTTTTCTTCTATGGTGAAGATTTTCTCATCCGTGAACAAAATCTTTCGGAATCCCCCAGCTGCGTACCTCTCCAAGAGCTTCTTGGATCTTGTCGCCCTGATGTGTCGCAAGGTGGCCGTAAGTAGCTGGCCCGTACGTCTCCGGTAAGCCCCTAGCCCTAGGTCTTGTTTAATGATGCGCGACATCGTCCGGACAGGAATCTTCATTTCCCTGGATAGGATCTTCTGCTTCCGGAGTGGATTCCTTTGAATCCTGGCTTTTACGGCTTTGATGGCTGCTGGAGTCCTTACTTGACGAGGTCTTCCGCTTCTTGGCCTGTCATCAACAGAGGACGTCTCATTGTACCGCTGAATGGTCCTAGACACAAATTTACGCGATATTTGAAGGCCGCGTAAGAGTTCAAAAATCTGACTAGCACTGTGATTACACTTATGTAAAGCTGTCACTGCAATACGGTTCTCTGCCTTGCCCCACTCCATCGTTATGCTTCGAGAGATCAATACAAACTGAGGTATATGTAATTACCCGAAAAGCGCTTAATCAACTGACACCACAATGTAAACAATCGGACAAGTATTAACAGGTCTACACTTGTTTGAAAACGAGGGACAGAACTTATGGCATGACTACGTACATGTTACTTGCGTTCGGAAATAGAACGTAATCCTTCTAAAACGTCAAAAGTGTGATTTTCTTCCCGATCTCAAAACCTTGGGAATACGAATTCTGTCACTTGTCATTCTCATGGTTCATTGTTTATTTTATCTGGTTATCAAAAACTGTTCAAAATTGGCTGAATATATATTTTTCATGATAAATGCTACCCTGTATCCCTAGGGTCTCTTATAATAATTACAATGGTCGCAAAAAGCGTGGTTACGAATTAGTCGGCTGTCATCAAGTGTCATTACATGAATGTAATAATTTAGACGTTCAAAAAATAAAGTTTCACAGTAGTACAGAGTGAAATGTCATCTGTCAATCTACATTTCATTACTATGTACGGTGTTAGATTACCAAGTGATTTACAATAAATTTATGAATAAATAAATTGCCATAATAGAGCTTGTTCCAGTTGTTTGGGGAATTCTAGTTACTGATGGTTCTTTTTCCTTGATAACAACCTTCGTTATTTGACGCGTTGACATCTGGTGCTTAAAATTATAATCCTTACAATTTGGTTTGGCGCATTAGTTATACTTTAGGATTTAATATTTGAACAGAAACAATCACTATGTAAGTATATCTTTTTATTGGTTAAGTTCATTATGCATAGGTTATGTTTTGTATGTTTTCCCTGCGGTTGGTATCATAGGAAGTTATTGTATGTGTTGGTATGTATTTGATTATGTGATTAATGGCAATATATTGGAGGATACGAATTTTCGTTTCTGCGTTTAAGGAATTCTTGGGGGACAACTTGACTGTTATTCATTACAATTGAAATGTAAGATTAAACTAATGTCTATCATTTTACATATGGAATGTCGGACTGAAACAGAATTATTTGATTTTCAATAGAAGAATATATCTTTTACCCAATATGACGGGTTTTTATGTAGTTAGTTATAATCATGGCATGGTCCATACTGTCTTTTGTTATAGAGCAATTTAACAAATCCCTGAAATGAAATACGGACAAAGTCGAATGCTTTACACAGAATTTGCACCATATCTATATCTTCTGTTTGAAAATTTGATAAAACCTTTATAACGAATAGTCATGCGTTGCTCATCTTAAAATATTGGTTATGGCATTTAACCTCAAAAGATGGCAGCGGAAACTTAGGTTATGGTGAAGTTATATACCCATATATACCGCATTTCACGAGTATCTGTCACGGTAGAATGACGCTGGTTATCTAATAATATTTAAAAATTTCCCATATCGGCAAAGGACACATAATTCTGACGGATCCGACAATGACAGGTGGACAGAGCCATAGTTTGTTTTAGTTTTTTGTACGCTACAGATTCATTTTGTACTTGCTAAAAGCTCTTTTATTTAGAAAAGTTCATTTGTATACAAAAAACAAAATGCTACAATCACATTTTTGTTAGATTTACACCCGATTCATTATAGCCAACGTTGCAGACTAACACAAGAATATCACTTGCTGATCAGCTATTCACCTCAGTAAACGTCAAAACATGATGGATACTCGTGAAATAGGGTATATTTAGCAGCAGATGTACAGTAATGGACAAAAGTATATATACAAATTAATATTGTGCTGTATTTCTTTTTTAACTTTTTTTATTTATACACCAACCAACCTGTATACATAATTCGTTATATCATAATACTCACTTATACATAAATAAATTCATTAGACTCCCTTCAATAAAAAATTAATTAAAAAAAAAACTGGAACTATGAAAGACAAAAATATATAGACAAAGCAAAACAATTATAGAAAAAAGAAGCAAAGTTCATTGAATTATAGAAACCCGACCATGTTTGTGTTAATATTTTGTAGCATAACCATTATTATCAATCACCGCCTGGCATCGTCTCGGCATAGATTGTAGAAGTTTCTTGATATAAGATTCATCAATCTGTCTCCACCTTTGTTCTAAAGCGGCAAAAAGTTCAACCTTGTTTGAATAATTTTTATCTCGTATTTGGTTCCCATAGATTTTCAATGGGGTTTATATCGGCAGACTGTGAAGGCCATTTGAGAACTGTCATTTTTTCATCCAGAAAGAATTTCTTTGCAGAAAGGTTGATCTTAAGGGCATATTGTCTTCCATATAGGGTAACATGACATGCTTTAGCATGTCTGTGTATACAAACTTATCCATAATGCCATCTATTCTATGTAAAGGTCCCATCCCAAACCCCGAAAAGCACCCCCAAATATATTGAACTTGGATTCGTCACTGAAACATACCCTCTTCCAGTCACAGATGCTCCAATCAAGATGCAACCGTGCAAAAAATATAATCGGTCCTTACGGTTTTTCCTCGAGATTAGCGGCTTCTCACTCGGGCGACGCGCAAATAACTTCAAATCATTTAATCTTCTACTTATAGTTTTCGTAAAAACACTGGCTATTCCTTTTGTCTCGATTTCGGCTTTTATTTGTCTTGGGGTTTTAAACGGATCTTTGGACGAAATTACTTTTATAATTCTAACTGATCTAGCATTTAGTTTTCTAGGCCGACCACTTCTCTTAGTCTTCCAAGATACCTTTATGCTTATATTTGTTCAATATTGCCCAAACTGCTTTACGCTCCAGCTCACATCCAAATAAATTTCTGGACCACGCGGCATATGGTCTTAAAATCACTCAACAATGTAGTATAAATTCATTTTCTAATGGTATTTAGGTAAATATTCATATTTGTCTATATACTTTTGTCCATTACTGTATGTCAAGCACAGCAATTTTGTACTAGAAAAGTTGTGATATTGTTGCAGATGTACAGCTTTTAACAGTTACTAAACCACAGTTGTATAAGTGCTTCCGTTGGGTGCAATTTGTTGGTTGAAGTACTAATTTATATGCTGTATAATGTAGTCGTATAATGGTCGTCGTTTAAGATGTTGTATAACTATGCTACAAGAATATTTTACAGCAAATATGCTGGAGAAAGCAAATTTGCGAGCCACACAACATTAAGCTTTGGGGTTCAAGCAACAACAATAGACAGCTTTTACGGTTAAGAAGTTTTTTACCACTTTCATAGTTGGGAGGGCATTTACAGAATTTTCTTTGTAGTGGTTAATAATTGGGGTAAATATATTTAGACGCTTCCAGCCCCGGTAATTCTACGGACCTATTAGGCATATTTAGCACATCATAGATGTTTCCATACATTCACCCTTAAAACACACGAGCCTCTGGATACACCTGCATCGCAGTTCTGGGCGATGGGAATGGAGAGGTTAGACATAGCAACCATGCCAGATGGACGTAAAGAAATTACTTTCTCCACCAATAGGCCACAAAGTATTTCTAGCTATTCTTTTGTTGCTTTCTTGGTGCACTGTGAATGACTTCATGGTATCTAGAAGCATTTCGCAGAATCTCAATGTCTCAAAATACACCAGCAGGTACTTCAAAAGTACTGATATAAAATTCCTCTTCATAACTACCCATTGAAATCCTCAGTGTATTATATCATTCCAGTAAAGACAAACGTCCGATATTTCAAAAGGGTCTTTGTGATCTCAACTCTCTGTAACAACGTATAATACGTGAAAAAATACGGCCCCAGGTGTGTCTACACATTGCAAACGATATTGCCAAGATATAATCGTTTAATAGCTAATACATATATCCGAGATATATGGTCAGGACACAAATGTTACCCGTTTAGATGATTAATAAATAAATATCCGAGATATCTGGTTGGGCTACAAATATTGCCCGTTTGGATGCGCCCCATGAAAAACATATTTACCTGTGGGTAGTAATACTGTCCTTGCGGCATCATTTGCGGCTGAAAGAACTGCGTGCCGTTGGTGAATCCTCCTTGCAGCAGCATCTGCTGAATCTGCTGCTGTGGCAGACTTTGGGTCTGCATGTAAGCTCCGCCTTGAATCTGTATGCTGCCTGCGGACTGGGGAATCCTCACCGTACCAGCCGGCGGGGCTTCGTCCACGTAATCCATGCACTTCCAGCGGCCCCTTTTGGATTTGGTAAATGGTTCAAAAAACTGTTTTATTAATCAGATTTATAAATGAATATCATTACAAGATATTTGATGAAATTTTTTACATTGAGCCATTTTAATTTTAATCGGGGTTCTGCGGTATGCAGGGTCTGAAAAAGTTTTTTTTTTTTACATTCCTTTAAATATTACATATAGAAAAAAGTTCTCAAGACAGCTTTGTAGCTTGACGTGTGAACTAATGTTAGTTTAAAGGCCTGTAACAAAAAAAATTATGGTCTGCCGCTCAACACGACACATTGTTTTAAGAACAACAATGTGCATAACTAATAATGGAGGACAGCTTCTGTAACTTTAAACATGTCCCAACTCTCTATAAGAAACATGGATTTGTCATTTTTATGTAAAAAACGTTTGAAAACAATTTGCATTTTATTACACCCATTTTGAGCCATGTTAGATAGCATATATTGCTTAACGTAGAATGCTTAGGATAACAAAAAGCTGTAGAATTATCACAAAAAAGTACAACTTCGCATACTAGTTTTTGAATGGTATGCGGAAATGCACAAAATAATCAATTTTCTTCCACATTTTTTTTTCTGTTTTTGTCTGCTTTTAAGTATGTTTGACGATTAGTATCAAAACAAGTTTTTCAATAATCGCTAGGACAACATGTCATCGTTCAAATGACACCTAATTTATCATTATGTGACACTTAAATACTCAGTTATTACAATTTTCATACATGCGCTACCCTAAACGTAACGTAAAAATAAAAATGGCTGCCATTTCAAGGGGGATGAAGTATCGCATTATAGGGGGTGGGTTTGTCGATAAAAATTGCTGAAAAATACCCCTCTTAAATATCGGTATGTCGTGACCAAACACATTCTGTATATATATATAACAAAGCAACAATTGAAAGATTACCATTGGGTAACATCACCTTTATTTTTTATTACGGCTGAAATTCGTTGGGGCATAGTGTTAACCAAGGTTTGGCCAAATATTTGTGAAACGATCCCATACTTCTTGAAGCTTTTGTCAACCATATGTATATATATATATATTTATATATATATATAAATTTACGTTTTAAAAGTGTTCAAGGTGAAATTAAAAACTCACTTTATGTATAGCCAAATGCATAGTAATGTATTTTTATAGAAAAGAATGTAAAATTACAGCAAATTTATTCAAAAAATGTATAAACAAATAAATATACAAACTTGACATTGTGGCATTAATGCTCAATAAATATTCAACAAACAAACAAATCGGATCAATAAGAAGGCGGCTTTGAAATAATGCATCTAATGAATTTGGTCGATTTCTTTCAAATATCTCTCAAACTAGCGTAAAATTATTCGATTTGTGTAAGACAGGCTCCAAATTCCTATATTAAAACAAAAAAGCTCCATAAATCACCTGGTTTAGTTACAAAAATCTATTTTTTTCATTTGTGTCCGAACACAAAAGTTGAGGCAAATTCCAGCAATCAAAAAGTATTTGTGGCCTACTCGAAACATGGATCAAACCTGATACAATATATCCATATGACGCCACTACTGGGGATTTTATTAAAAATAACAGTGTTTCATTTCTGCAATTATGCTTAAAAAATTCTTTGAACACTTGAACAAAATTACAGAATGATTATTCATCTGTAATAAGCATCGAGTAAATAATCAATGTACTTACTCTTAACAGGAAGATGTCGCGCACTCTACCAGACGGCCATGTTGCGCCGCGGTGAAGGTGGCAAGGCTAGAAGTAGTTGTTCTACTGTTACAGTAGAGGGCGCGAGATGTTTGTTAAAGAAAAAGAATTCTGTAATTTTATTTATGTCCTCAAAGAATTTATCAAGCAGAATGTCGTAGAGCAACAGTAAGACACTATTATTTCCAATAAAATGAAAATTTAGTTACTGTCATATCATTCCTATATTGTCCATGCTTCAAGTATGTGCAAATGTGTATTTTTCATTGGTACGTTATATGATCATGACCACTAATTTATTGTCCGGACGCAAATGAAAAAGCATATTTTGTAACTAAACCAAGTGACTTATGAGGTGTTTCTTGATTTAATATGGGAATTGAGGGGCCATCTTACACAAATCGTATGGTTTTTCTCTAGTTTGACAGACATTTTACAAGAAATAGACCATATTCATTAAATCCATTATTTCAAAGACCCCTTCTCAATGGTTGAATGTGCGCCCCGGTTTAGTAAAATTGGGCCTAAGAGTGACGTGACTAACCTCTTAAAGGGCTCCAAACTGGCAATCTTGACAACCTTAAACCTATCGTTTCTGCTAGGCGTGGCATGCAGCTCCTTAACATCCGCTTCAGCGACAGGATTCGCCGGTTTCAAATTGGAGGCGGTATCGCCGGCCGTCACCGCCCCCGCGTGATGCGCGGCGTCCGTAGATGAGGTCACCGACTCGGGGGCGGGCTGAGTGGCTTCGGTAGGGATGATCGCGACACCGTACTGAGGACTAGTGGGTATCACGTTGGAGGCGAGGTCATCTGCGGAAGGGCGACGGTCCTCCGAAGGGTCGGGTGCAGAGGGAGGCGGCGGTTGTTTCGTCACCACCTCAGCGGACGACACATCCGAAGGCTTGGCTGGGGCGGGCATCGCCGGCTGGACTACAGGGACTGACTGATGCTGGTGCTGCTGACCTACGGAACAGAGCTGCTAGAAACTCACTCTCAGGTCAATCAGCCAGCCGGCGATTGATGCTTTAGGCCAATCAATAGTTTGATAAACTTGCAAGGAGCCATTTGTACAAGTACATCAAGGAAAATGGTCAGATCAGTAATCATACACAGTGAGCGTTTTGACACAGATCACGAAAAGTGACAACTCAAAGATAAAAGCACCAGGCAACAATTTTCGATATGCTTGAAAGTAAACATAATAAATTAAAATTTATATAACATATATAAAAAATTGTCTTAGTAAAGTAACATGGAAACTAAGTACTATATGGGATTTAAAAAACTGTGACATAATTTAAATTCACTCAAACCTCATAATTTATGAGATCTGTAAGCCCTGAATATGACTTAAATTTCAAGTTGGTCGCATCTGAGATTATTGCATTTTGAAATTTTTACGTCATACATACATATCTTAAACGGTCATTTTTCCTTTTATTTTAGTGCTTGATTGTTCTTTAAAAAACAAATTTTCGAATATTTCGTATAATCTGCAATTAAACACATAGATACAAAACATATAAAAATGAAAGTGCTGCTCCACTGCACTCACATTATGACAAAAGTCTTAGAATTATTCTGTTCCAACCTTTGTTTTTATTGTGAGTGACACTTTCATTTTAATTATGTTCTGTATGTGTTTCATTATAGATTTGTCGTAGAAAGTATTGCGACCATGCACTCATATAGAATAAAAAAAGTTAAACGTCTGAAAATGGCTTCATTTATGGACAAAGATTTAAAAAATGCGACTAAAATAAAATGATAAAATAAACATAAAAATGTTGATGAAAGTACAAATATATATCCAAAAATGACAAAGACGCCATTAACTTGAGTTATTTTTAGGGCCGAAAACCCCGCGTTTAGACACATTTTGCTCAAGAATTAGTTGCGTTGTATACCCTCAAGCATCACAGAACTTGTGCCTTGACGCTCTTCATTTTCATGTGCAACCGCCTGCCCCTCTTATTTATAGCAGGTTTTTGGCATAAATAAAACAAATTGCTGTATACTTGTCACAGTAAACAGTGTCACATTCTTTATTGAAGATTTATTTTTGTTGATACCTCAACGACCAACATCTTCATTGTTTGAAGTATTGATATGCTCTACTAGTTTAAAATTGTACAAAGAAAAAACAAAACATAATTTCGCATATAGCAGGTGATTCGTTTAAATATACTTTTTAATTCCAGCCCGGTAATTCTACGCACCTACTGGAGATGATAGATTTCCCCTTACAAATCTGTGGGGACTATGGTGTAACTGTATGACCCTGTTTACCGACATGATCCATTTAATGCTGCAATCTTTTTTCTAATATAATCCTTTATGACAGCATTATCTAGGAAGTACAGAGCCAATCTACTTAATAATAACCGACTTGACGTCTTTTTTTCCATGAATTATTTCACAGATAACTCATAGTTGTCTTGACCTGTACAGTCTTCTATTCAGTATTGCCTGATACTTTATCATGACGAGTAAGTAGAGCACAGTGGTTACAAATTGTTCAGCTGTTTTTGAACATTCGACTTTGAAAATTGGTCTAGCGGTAACACACTACTTGCTATCTGAAATTCAAGATTATGGTCTTGGTCTTGAGAACATTTAGTTTCAACAAGACAGTGTAACTTAGCACATACCATAACTTTATTGCAACAAAAATTACGTGAGCAGCTAATTTCTCTTTTCAGACACAAAATTGACCGCCTAGATTATGTGACAACGCAATATCTTATCTACATCGATAAGCCGGGTATGATTGAATAAGTTTCTCTCGCGTTATCCCCAAATACTACTTCAAATGCACGAACGAGTCATCAAAAATCGGAATACGTAAATAGATAACGATAACCAGAGTGGCCAACATTTTGAAAGAGTAATCTTCAAAAAATGATTGCTTCTTTTGTTCGATAATATATGGTAGATAACCCAAAAAAGATTGTCTTTATTTTCCCAGCTACTGAAAAAAGTACCTCTAAACAAATCACCTATCAGCTGTTTATAATATAGAATTTGACACTACTCGTCTGTTAAACAATCACTATTTAATCTCTCCATAATCCTGTATGTATCTGTAAATATGTCCATCCCAAAATCCTCCTTTCTATTTATATTGATTGACCTACTGCCAACTTGCTTGTGCGTTTTCTATCTTAAATTCACATGGGATCATTCAACTAGAGGTCAAATTAGAATCTTCATAAACTTCGGAAAAATGGAATTTGGATTTAGAATCCTAGTAAAAAGAAAGATAAACTACAAATCATAATGTATTGAATCACATTTGTTTAGTTTGAAAGCAGAGCAAATGCACAGAGCAAGAATAAACCCCAGCCAGCCATCATGCTCTATTTAACATCATTGATCTAACATTAACATTTTTACATTACGAAATATAGGTCATCATCAATCTTCAGTTAAACTTACAGATGTAAACAATAAACAACTGTTTATCAACCTTGCCAGAAATATTGTGCAGTCAGAAATGAAAGAATGAGCTTGATGAGACGGATTTCTCATTCACTGAATAAATTAGTACAGCAATGTAATTCTCACAGCTCGCCATCTGTGATAGAATTAACCACTGCGAGAGTGTATAGCAGCTACCAGTCACCACTCCACTGTTACCGATAGAAGACGACGGTTCTGGGCGTAAAGTAGATGTGGCCTACTTACTCGCCACTGCCACATCTACTATGCCTCTAGCAGTAGTGACTGGCCTATTAAATGCAAACTAAGATCTTCATAGTTCCAACCAATAAGCTGCAATATACTCTGGCAGTGGTGGATTCTGGTAATATCAGTTTGCACTGTCTTATTTTGATAGATCTCATGCCTCGGATAGAGGATCGTTGGAATGATTTCATTGATTGTCCCAGAGGCCAAGCCTAGACCATATGGACGACTTGCCAAAAAGCAGCAGCTGTCCATGGTTGGCTGTCTGTAGTCCGACTGACAAAAGCAGTATGTTTAGTCGTTCCAAGCTATTTCCTCACATCACAAAATACCCACTAATTCTCAACAAAATACTAACTACTTAGAATGTGTCAGGAATCAAAGTTTTACAATATAACTACGTGATTTTCAATAGTTCAGAGTTCACTTAAATGTTCTTTCATGGATTAAACTTTAACAGACTCACAGAGGTCAATTTAATAGACTTAATATGTTTCCAAGAATTGCCATTATATAATATCTACTTTTACTGAAAACACAATAAAAAAAATAAAAAGTGTTCTACAAATAAGAATACTGCCACCATAAAAACACATAAAGAGATGAATATACGGTATTTGGATTTTAATGTTCCGCCAAAAAATTTTAAGCAAACTGACAAATTGGGAAAATGAACCATCCAAACAGTGTAAAATGTCATGCTTTAATTGGAAGATATAATAATAATGATAAGAATAACGCCTTTATTTGTAGTACATGTGACATATGATGCAATTAAGGTAACCATTAAGATTTAGACACAACATGTCTGAAAATTAATAACATGTATACTCCCCTGGCGTGCTCCATACCGACTTTCACTACAAATAGAAGAAGGAAATGAAAGGCTGGGACCCACCATTAGAAAATGACTAGCCTCAAAACACAACCATTACCCTGAGGGTCTGTGAGCTCTCAATTATCTCATTTCAAGACAGATGGAACTAAAGATTTGCTATTATTAATAAAGAACTATGGAATTTCTTCAACTTTTATCTGGCCTCTGGCCACATATTTTCCCCTAGTACTTATAAAAACTGCTAGAATCAACATATTATCTGACACTATCAAATATGAACCACATATATTAGCCCTATTCATACAGCTGTCGCCAACCTGTCAGTGAGCATGTCCAAGGTCCCGTCACAAATTCCGTTCATTCTGCTACGCTATTTAGACGAAATTCGCACAGCCGGATCCCTGAAATAGTCACGAACAAGTCACTGACCACTGTACGAGCAACAAATACTCCCAATATAAAAACAAAATAAGCTATTTTTCTTAGTTGCCTCTTAAAACCCAAAAACTGTATATCCACCTTAAACCTATATTTCATCCATATTATATCCCATAGAAATGAATCATCCAATGCTTGATATAATGCATTGCATTGACAAGTCTTAGATGCGGATATTTGCTCCTCTTTATGCAAGTACCTAAAGTGCTAGTCTCACAGCTACTTAGCATTCCATATTGGACATATGGACATAACCAATGACATGAAAACTCACAAAAACCTTTCATTCTACAAACTTTATGATGGGATAGTAAGTCCTGAATACATCATTAAAAGAACTATGTAAATTGCTTACACAAGTTAACTACATTTTCTCAAATTAATTTTAAATTAGAAGTATAGATATAACAAATTTACCACAGACTTTGTCATAAGAATTAATAACCTTTTTTGGGTTCTATAGAGAACTATCCTGGAACCATTCTGTGCAGTAGAATCTTGCTTCTGCAAAACCGCTTTCCGATTGATTACTGTCTAAGTAAGAATCGTTCTAAGATAGTTCTCTGTAGAACGCAAATGAAGCGAATATGAATCCATAAGGTTCATAATTCTCAAAAAGTCTCCAACCTATGTATGGACCAAAACCGTCAAATATCACAGGATAAGTTTCAGATGTTGGACATAGCAAAAGAATAAAAAGTAAAACGTTTCTGAAATATTCTTGTAGGTATCTTCTACCCACACCCATATTAAAAGTCTTATTAATTGAGTAGATGAGATCCCAGTGCTCCCAGCATTACCTATTTTCTGAAAGACAATATTGGGCATTGAAAAAACAGCATTGTACCTGCAATGCTGGGTAGAAGGACCAATTAACGAGTGTTAGGTGAGAAAGTTCAAGTGAGCAGAAGGATAATTTGGCTTAAATTCGATTTTTATATGCAAGTTTATAAAATACTATTACAGAGTAATATTCAGCACCGCCAGACACTTCCCACCTGCCAACACTTCTGTCACACTTCACACATAGCCATAACTTTTGTCAGACACTTTAAACAAGGTGTCCTGCTATAAACTGACCTCTCTCTAACCTGTTCCTATGATGGTTTAGAAAATAAGTTTTGAAAGTCTTAAAAGTTAGAGGATCTGATATTCGGTTTTTCATGCAAGTTTTTAGTGTGTCTCAAGAAAGTTGTATTGACTGATATTGTATTTTTTTGAGCAAGGAACTTTAATTAATAACCCTATATACTGAAAAAACATTGCAAAAACAATCTTATATTAGACTATTTAACTTTTGTAAAAAACATTTTTTTCTAAATGCTCATACAAAAAAAGTTCCTTATTTACTTTGTGAACCAACACATGCAACTACAAGGTGCTAGGAAGTATATTGTACATTTATATTACAATCAAACAATTCTTCAATAATATATACCATATTTCATGAGTATCCATCACTCTTTGACATCTTATGAGGTGAACAGCTGATCAGCAAGTAACATTGTTGTGTTAGTCTGTAATTTTGGCAATAATGAACAGGGTTTAAATCTAGTAAAACTTGTTTGTTACGTTTTGTTTTTTATATGCAAATGAACTTTTCTAGATAAAACAGCCTTTAGCAAGTACAAAATGAATCTGTAGCGTAGAAAAAACGTAAACAAAATATGACTGTGCCTTCCTGGCAATTATGTGTCCTTTGCTGATATGCAGAATTTTGAAGTATGACTAGATAATCAGCTGTCATCCTACTTTTGTGGATACTCGTGAAAAAGACTATAGGGAGACAAAGACGTTAAAACATTTTTTAGTCATCCCATAACCCCAAACCTATGAAAAGCAAGCATGCTCATTCTGACTGGAAGGCGATAGTACAGCCTTTATATAAATCCTATGAGTCAGGGCCAATCTGTGTTGAGGAGTAATTAATAAATCCCAGTTTCTGGTATTATGTGAGTGAGCATCTTGAGTTTTTAACTCAGTAATGCATGTTATTAAATTATTTTTGTAAAAATATTATTTGCCAAGTAATGCAGCCGATAATACCATACAATATATGGGCTCATTTTAAAGTCAGCGACCTTGCTTAAAAGCATCTGGCTGAAGTTATGCTAGATGGGAAGTGTCTGGCAGTTTCTAGTAATGTTTACAAAGTATATACAAGCCAGCCATCACAATCTGAGTTAAGCTGGTTTTATCTTATCTTGACCTTTCTTACTTGGGACCAGTGCCCTCAACCCGGCTTAGCAGGTATGCAGGGATTGAAACTACTTATAAATGCTATTTAATGCCCCAGGTTTTTGTCTTTCATAAAGTAAGCGATGTTTCGCAGCCCTGGGCCATTGGACTATAGAAGCTTGATTGTAATGAAGTATTCTGCTTACATACCCAAAATATTCATATAATCGGGAGTGAGGTCTTCTTGGCCATTACCACTGCCAGTTTTAGGCACATACCTTTGAACTTTATCAGGCCTACGTGGGTCAGCGTTCATTCTATACCTGGAAAGGACGAATCCAACACTCTGAATTCAGTAGTCTCTGTTTACAAATACATAATTCAGCCTGATAATTAGAAAAATCCGTCATCACATCAAGTGCTAAGTAGGCGCCAGATTACATGCAAAAAACTCTTTCTAGAAAATTCCTGGTAGAGTAGAAGCAATCTATATTTCCAGATATGACTAAGTACGATTTAAATAATGGCAATTACTCACTTTTCCAAGGATTTAACAAATTTATTTATAAAGAATTCACAATGGCGACAATCTGACAATCTATTTAGGGCCGACTGAAATGTCAAAAAAACGCAGTGGCGTGTCATGCGAAAATTTTCACGGGTTTAGTTAGCCTAGAAACGACCATATTTATGAACCAACGAATTTTTAGACTCGGTAGTTTTATTTGTCTCCATAATATATAAGTTATTTTTTTCACCATCCTGTCATTATTATATTCATATTCTAGTGTTATTTTTTGAAAGAGCGAGTGTTTGCGAATAATTATGGTGTTAGAAGATTTCCGATCATGCATGGTAGGTACTTCTTGCGGTACAAGCCCGATGAGACAACATCTTTTCACCAGTACCTATTATTATTAGGTTGACACCTTGGTAGGCAATGATAGTCAAATGAGTCAAAAATATGCAGTGCAACTACGCAATTTTTGTGTCAAACAATGCAATGTGTACGCTTGGCTCATTCTAATCCATTCGAACTGGTTGGTGTGGAAAGATCTCAAACTCAGAGCCGCCACTCATCTGTGGACAGAAATCAACGGTATTAATGAATGTGACAAATATCTTTCCGATTTGAGGACAAGAACAATTTGAATTTCAAATTGGCAATCCTCTAACAAATAATGACAATGAAATACTTGCACATCTGTAAGGCCTCAGTTGACCCCCACATGACCCAGTCACCAGTGGTGTATTTTCATCAGATGCATCGGCTTCTTGAAGTTGTGCCTCACATATAGGAACAGAGAAAAGACAAAAATTGATTGCGGCGGCTCGGGCGACCTGTACATAAATGAAATTCACCCTCAAGCAAAAGTTACTTTTACGGCCACATACAGTAAAATGTTGTATTTACTGTTTTTGGTCTACGACATGACGAAAATGATGTCATTTTATATCCAAAATGTTACTATTCCTTTTAAACTTAATAAATCATATAAAATCAAAAGTTTCAAAAATATCAGTTTTTGTTTAAGAAAATCAAGTAACTGCTTTGTCTTTCTGACTTTTCCAGTAAGGAGGTTTTTCTCTTTGATGAATAGTACCTTAAGTGAGACCTAGACGTGATATTCAGAATGGCATATTTATGGCATACCATAGCAAAATATAGATTAAATATAATCAGTCAGAAAAAAATTATTGAAATCGGCCAGTAAATTGATACTTAAATTTGGTCCATTATAGCGCGAAATAATAGCTACCGTTCGTTCGCGTCTGACGTCACACTTCTCTAGTGTCCAACGTCTCGTCGCGTAGGTGTTCGACAGCGTCTGTGCGCTTAGTCATTAGTCTATAGACAATTCATAAGGCACATCTTTGCGCTCGGACACGTGGTTTCCAGTTGATAGCTATTGGTTACTGCGTAGGTTCATACCATTATGGACGCCGCATGTGAAGGTACGTAGAAAAAGACATTTAGCCTACCATGTGTCCCGCTGTATGTGTGCCTATGCGTGTGTTTAGGAGATTGAGTTGGCTCGGGCCCAGGAATCGGCCGCGGGCGCTGCCACTGGATACTGAAGTCTGAAGTGTGACGTCACACGTAACGTACAAACGGAATAAAAATATTCTCGCTGAGCGCAACTTTTATGGGCTGTAACTTTTTTGTTTTAAGAGATAAATTAATATTTTTTGCACTATCTTGTTTCAGTTTTCCTAAGCTTTCATTTGAGCTATTAAAAAAAAATGGTACACTTGTCCGTTTTACATCTAAAAAAAGGCTATTGAAATGCCCCTCTTAGATATCTCATAGTACGCCTCTGAAAATGCATAATTGCAGTGACACAGTTATTAGATTTTCTTGTTTCCTTGTTGGCTGCTCTGCAAGTCAGGCATGACAGTTTTGGCGTTGCCAAGTTTCTTTGTTCTAGTGATGTCTCATTATTATCCACTGTCAGTCTGTCGGTATATCTATCTCTGTCTAAATGTCCAGCTAGCCTATCCTTGTTGCAACTGAAAGAAGATCGGCTTGAATCGTCTCACTCAACTACAAATAAACGATAGGATATAACTTTTGACTCAATGTAAGTGACGTAGGTACCCTGAGTGGCAAATGAGGATGGCAACACTGTACAAGTCTACCAAGGAGCATCTGGAATAGGTGTTATCACTGACGTACCCAGTTGTTACTAGCTGTCCAATAGGTGGAACTCATGCTAGTTAAGTGATTTAAGGAGGCAAATTTGAAGTTTCATACTTTCAAAAATATTTATGAAGGTATCTGCATCCCGTTCGGAAATATTCAAATAGCAAAGACATTTAATTATGCGTCGGGCCCTGGAACTCAAGAAACAACAAAAAGGATTTAGGGAAAATCGGTTACCTTCGTTATCTCCGGAAGTACTCTGTATTATAATACTTTTTAGCTACTTGTAGTTTCATAAATAAGCAGATTTACCCCTATTTAACCGATCTCGTGTGTCTTACTGCTTCTGAGATCCAAAATTGGTGAGGTTCGAATTAAAAACCTGCAACTATTGACAAGTCGTAGGTGGTAGACGGTCTCTGAGTGTCGAACGCGGAGGTACCACCCGGCGGGGGCAAGAATGTGAGTATGTTGCATGCACACGAGTTCCCTCGCCAGAGTCCGTGTAGCATCCCCCCTCTTCCCTGTATCCCCTTTTAGCCCCACGGTACCCCATGGGTGTTCAGGCCTTAGGCCTTCGTGGTAGTTGGAGTATAAAAAAAAATAAATAGTACAATTTGAAAAAAGATACATTTTGTGTAACATATGTACAACAAATTGAACATCCATCGCAAGATGGAAGAGGTCCGCCAAGTAAAAGCAACATCAGTCTACAGAATTTGAGACACCACCAATCTTACCAGTCGCAGTAAGCTAACAGGCTAGAGACCCTGGGCAAGTTATATTCTGCGCCGCGCCCTTACGATAAATACGACGTAGCTCAAGTCCGCGTCTAGATTTAGTTTTTAAGAAATATTTGTGATATAATATTTTTATTAAATACTTATTCAATATCTTTTAAATATTTTAAATACAATATCTCTTTTATAATATTCATTAAATATTTACTTTTCAATCAATGGAAAATATTAAATCTCCAATATTTAGAAAATATTTATTAAATATTTTTGGCTACGGAGCATGTGCGCGTGCTCTCGAGCGACCAATGGGATAATAGCAAGACGGCCTGAGGCGACCCGTTTGCCGACATCCATTTTACCAGTGACCTTCACTATGATAGCGTGCTTCCTGTGTAGGTACCTCCAAGTGGTTCATTATTTCAGTGTTTTTTTGTGGAATAGGGAAAAGGGTAAGTTTTTCGATAATCACATAGCTTAATTTATCCGAATAGTAAACATTATTGTGCGAGCTGAGTATAAAGGTATTCACAGGACCATAAATAACTAGCCTTGAAGTGTAACAGTTATTTGGTATTGGTGGATTTATCTGAGAATAGATACAAAAATTATGTTCATAACATCCCAATGACAAGGCATATAATCGCAACTTGATCGAGATACATCAAAAATGCTTTTTTTAAATATCTCAATCATTATTATTTTTTTCGTAGTACGTTCAAAAATTTTAACATTTGAAATTACTATACTTTTGTCCCTTGAATTAAGTGGTCTATTTTCAAAAAGCTTTTCTTTAAAAGTTAGTCAAAGGATCAAGTTATACCATGAACATTTTTTATCAAGATATCTAAAATAACATGCCAAATTTTCTTAAAGATTAACCAAATCTCGAACTATCATAGGCGGAAAATGTGGGGTCCTTTTAGTTGCATTATAGAGCTGCTTTTCAGTGACTCAGTTGAGCTACTCGGAGTAACTCAGCATGCTCAGCACCAATATTGTTCCACTGCATTTTATATTCCCACAAATACACCGTAAAGCAGCTTATGTAGGTATTCAATAATACTTCATACTTAGTAAGTTTGTTTTTTTTTCAGAGGAGTGCACTTGCAAGATGCAGAAGAGGCTTAGAATGTTTTTTTTATAATATTTTTCTACCAAATTAAACCAGTATATCTATAATGAATTTTCTTAATAAGCCCAATTTTATATAAGCATTCCTACAGATATTGCTAAAATAACCAATAAAGAATTTTCTATATAATACACTGAAAATATGTATCAGATTTATGCTTGAAAATGTATACATATTTACGAAAAATATTAGATATTTCATCAAAATATCTTTAAAAATCTTACCTCATATATCTTCTAAATATTTGGAAAAAATATCGCAAAAATATATGAATTATATATACTACAAATATCTATAATGAATATTTTATAAATATATAAGAAATATATTTATAAAATATTAAAAAATCTGTCGCTACAAATATGTAACAAACATTTTTTTTTAAATATTTAACAAATGTTTAGTGCTATCGGGGAGTTTTTATTTCGTGCAATACCGAACTCGTGTGCATTGTGTCGAAATACCTCAAAAAAAAAATGGAAAGTTCCGAGTGTTCTAGTATTCTCAATCATTTATAAAGTAATAAAAATGTGTGTGCCCTTTTACAATATATATATATATATATATATATATATATATATATATATATATATATATATATATATATATATAACTTGAGACGTGGTCATTGTCGTCTAGACCAGTTAGGTGAAAAATTAAAGCTTCCGCCTTTTGTTGGGTACTTCGACAAAATTTAAGCAAAGAGGACTCTTTATACTTTTTTAATTCTCTCTAGCTTTCAATGGACTTTGCCATCATCATCAGGAGCTGCAATTACAATGATAACAGTAGCAACAAAAGTGTAAAATGAATTTAAATTGACTCAACTTACAGTAGTATGTGAGGATGTTGCTAATTGTTGTTTACGTATAGGATGAGGGAAACGTCCAGTAACATGGTGAGAGCTGGTACAATGGTCAAAATTATATAAAATATGACAAGAACAAGTTAAAAACAGATTAAAAATTATTTAAAAAACATTAGAGCATTACATCGTGAAGCCACTTGATGATTGCACAAAATGGTGGTCATGGAATAATGAATGAGATGAACCCTTTGACAGAAGGCCGAAGGTTGTCA